AGACAGGAAAAAGGCAAAGAAATGGAAAACTTAAAATTAAATTCATGACATCAGCCGTGACATCGAAACAAGGATAAAGCCATAAAAATTTGCATAACAATTTAAGACGATTGAAGATAATTTAGAAAAAAACAAATACCGTACACACATATTAAGTTGCACATATAAATATGCTATATTTAATGGTATAAAAATGGAGATACTTACTAGATTGGCATAAATGTGTTAAATGAGATATTCAAGCATTTTCGCTCGAATTCTTCCACAATTATGTAAATTGTTTTCGCTTAAAATTTTAAACTAATTTTATTTCTGCTGATTATTTTCAGGAAGTGCAATTTTCTGAGTATATTAGATGACCATTTATTCTTTGCAAATACAAAATAGATCAAGAAAACTTACAAACTATGAGTATTTGCTTCTTGGTATATTAAAACTAAATTATATTTGTTATAGCTTTAAAGACGATCTCTACAATTTTGTAATTAAAAGCTCTTAATTTTTATTATTCATTAACCCTTGCTATTTTAACGGTTAAAAACATGCTTACTATTCTAAATTGAGATCCGAAACAATTACAAAATTGTAAATATGAAAGGTAGGTATAGGATATATTTAAAAGTATTTATTTTTAGTGAACAAACATAAAACATTTGAATTTATTTTTTACTGTCACTGCACAGAAAAGGCTGATTTAAATATTTACATGACCGTTTATTTTTTGTGCATAATCTTGAAGTTTGCATAAAAAGTTTTGTTTTAAAATCGGTTTCTGTTACTTGTAGTGCAAGAATCGCCGTACTACAAAATCTTGAATTCAATATATTTTATATGCAAAAAAATCTGCAAATACCAAGGTCCAATGTGTAGTTGGTTCGCGTTTAAAATGTTAAAATGTTCAGACTGGGTATTTCGAGTATAGAAAAATTATGCATGTACATATGTAAATTTAATTTTTATTTGACACAGCTGATGTGGCTGAAATGTAAATATGTTAAATTAAAAAATTCTGTACAATAACAGCAAATATAAAAATGTGACTCTGTTGTTGCCATCGCGACTTCATGAGCTTAATATGCAATGTCATAACACAAGCTAATTAAAGTAATAAAAATCAAAACATAATAATAATAATGTACAATGAATGTATTGAGTGACGAGTATTCTTGATCTACGAGAAACCAGTTACTTCGAATCTTCGGAGTAACGAGTATTGAAATTAGGAGTAGCTAGTATTCACACATCACTATTTTAAAAATTGAATTTCAATTTCCGAATCCGAAATGAGAATATTATTTAAAAGTCAATAAAAATGGTATCAGTATACAACTATGTATATCGGAATTATAAACTTAGATGCAAACAAAACTTCTAATTTAAATGAATTAGAAGTTTCGCTGCTTATTAAAGTTAAGAGAAAATCAAAGTATATATTCCGCAAACAAAGTATAATATTAATTTAATGTATTTACATTCATACATAGAGCCGCTCAGCACGCTATCCAACATTTTTGCAAAAATGAATTATTATGTTCAATAGAGCTGTAATGGCCTAAAAAATTGTTCTATATTTTCAAAATACTTAGTTTACTTTTCTCTTTACTCTATTTTGACATCAATTCGTTTTTGGCTTTTACAAATTTTCTTTAAAATATTTAATTATTTCAATAGCAATTTACTCGAAATGTCATATATGTAAGTTGGCCACCAATGTGCTGAGCGCCTCTTATGTACATACATAAATTCAATGTAAAATAATAATTGAATTGAAAAGAAGAAAATTAATGGTTGACTAAGTTTAAGCTCTCCATTCGAGCAAAAAATCATAGAGAATGAATGAATTGGTTTTCATAAAACAAAAAATAATTAAAAGCTCTGTAGTACTTGATTTTCATCTTCAATTCAATTCAATTTTATTACGTTCACTTCAATTTTTATAAGTTCTGTTCAATTTTATTCAACCAAACAAGTTTGTTAGAGAATATTTACGGCTATAAAACAAAATTAAGCTTTAGATAACTTAATTAGGTTCAGCCACTATTCTGCAAAGATTAACAATATGAAACACTTTAACAATGTACGATACTAAAGAATAAAACTAAAAATTAAATTATGCCGAATGCTTTTTTGAATTTTAATATCTTTATTTGCCTCTTTTTTCTATAGTAAGTCATGTACCTACTTTTAGATGCTAATAAAACAAAAACAAAGTGAATAAAACTTTAGCACTTGAACTCAATCATAGTAGCGCATATGCATAAATTAATAAAATGTGGAACACAAATTTTTAGCCATAACGTGAATTAAGAGCAGGTTTAATTAACTTTTACTTTTTTTCATTCAGATACAAAATTATTTAAAATTCAAAAAAGAGAAGAATTTTAAAAATTTTTGAAATTTAGATTTATAATTGAGTTTTGTTTTTGTTTGGCGTATATTACCAATGTTACGCTTACTAATTCATTAACATCGATTATACAATAGCTATTGATGAATAATTTATTTTTAAAAGCAAGCTGTGGTACCCCAATATTCAAAAGGCTACTGGTAGGAAATATTACGAGTATAACATTTAAAAGTTCTTTTTTTAAGACAAAAACTTTTGCAAACAAAAAATAAACTGATTTTGAATAGTAAGGTTCGACATTGAATTATTTTTCAAGTTAGTATATTTTGTGTTTTCAAAAATTTTCGAAATAGAAAATTAGAGCCGTTGATCGTGTATTTCGCTATTTTACTAGTCAAGTGAGATCAAAATCAAATAATTTTCGAGTGAGAAAAATTACTCCCTCTTGCGTATTTCGTTTTTTCCTGAAGTGTATACAAAATTTATTCACTTTGTTTTTGAAAGTGAGACGTTCAGTCGATAATTTGAGAAAAACTCAAAAATCCTATTGAAAAAATGAAACATCTATTAGAAAAACGAAGAATTCTGATTTAAAAATGAATAAAAAGTGAGTAAAAAAGTGAGATAATCGTGTATCTGTTATAGTGTGGCTGTTAATACAAATAATCATATAAATAAATAAAAATTTTCAAATAAACACCAAGAATTCACTACCCGTTACAATCCTACATCACTACTACAGTTTTCTTAATTATACTTTCAACGCTTAGTAGATTACCTTTCTGAATTGCCGTCAGTCGCAAAATTAGCCAAAATAAACTATATTTGTCGTTATTTGAGACAATATTCATAGGATGTCATGATGGAATTTAATTCAATTTCCTAATAATTATTGAGCTTTGCAAAACATATCAGTTTATTTTAAAATTAGAAACCATACAACACAGAACATCGCATTTTACAAGAAAATGTTGCAAATCAGACCAATTACTCAGATAAACAAATTAATTCTACCTTTATCTTCTATATAAATGTGGTCTATATTTTATCTTCTATCTTTATTTAAAATAACTTTAAATGGAATCAACTATTAAATGATGTTGTTTGCATAGGTCAGAATGGCCTTACTAAAATGGCCTGACACACAAACAAGTTTTTATAACTTAGCTACGTACGAGAGGCTGTCATCACCATTTGTCACGGTTATTACTGCTTCCCAATTTTTTTTATTTTTCACAAAAACTATTTGGAATTATTATTTTAATTATTTTTAAAAACCAAGCTTTCTCAATCCGATTTTCCGAGTAACAACAATCCTTAAATAAACTTTAGAAAATTAAAATTTTTCAAGTTTCAAATCAATTTTTTTGCAATTATTTGTAAATCTATCTTAGACGACTCTGGCTCTGAGCCATTTATTTATGTTTCAAAGTTTCTTTTCTAATTTAGAGTTTATATTATGCACATACTATTAGAAACAATACATAATACATTTGAATGGTAATTTCAAAATAAATTTCTAAAAAATCAAAAAATCTCATAAATATTGATCATTAGATTGTTTTAGGTACAGGGTTACAGTTCATTTGCAAAATGACCTGTTTGACGATTAAAAATAGTTTTTTATTTTAATTATTATGATTACAAGTGACATGAAATTGCGGTAAATGATTTGAAATTAAGAAATTAAAAATGAGATCAAAAATACTTTAAGATCTGATCCATCAACCATTTAATTTTTACTTTCATCTCTTCTGAATGTTCGTATAATAATATATTAGATACTAATTAATTAAATCAACCTTGACTAAGTTCAAGTCAAAAAAACTTCTAATACTTATTAAATACGTTAATGTGAAACTTGTTAAAATAATGTAGAATGTAATGCTCTAATTAAATAAAAAAGAATATTAAAAATATTTTGCAATGAATTTCACATGATCACAGAACAAGGGTCAACTGTTGAAATCGTCGTATAGTAGAAGTATGCAAGTACCTTGACATAAAGTGTGTAAGTAGATCGTAAAGTGTTTGTAACAAACGTTAATTTTTACTAATATTACTATTGAATTTTTAGTTTGCAAAGTTTTACCTTTACCTATTATTTTAGTTTAATTAATGTAATTGTAACTAAAAACCGGTTTTAAGAAATAGTTACGCGATTATCAATGTCAATCGCTAGTTACAAACAATAATTATTACACTTAAAATAGCAAAACATACACTTTATTATGTGTGTATAGTTCAGCAAAATGAGTAAGTATGCACGGAAATATTTTCAAATTTTCACTTAAACCTATCACTTTGCATTAATTGCAATTTTTATTCAAAACACAAAGTACAAAATCTTCTTATAATAATTTCAATTGCCGTTGTTTAATTATAAATTAATTTCATTATTACATTACGACATTAATAGTCATAAATTTAATTAATTTATAAAGTACATTTTTATTTAGTTTTGAAAGAAATTTTAGGAAAGCAAATGCAACTACATAAATAAAAAGCTTTGCTTATGTTTAGATAATCTTAAAGTAGTAAACTTTATTGACTTTAATCACCCAGTTAAACATTAGCACGAACAAATATCTTGTATATTGAATGCAAATTTTATACATTTTTGTATAAAAAAGTGGAAATAAGCGACAAAACCATCAGTTATATTTTAATTTTAAAAGAATTGAAAGCAAAATCTATCGGTTATTTAAAAAAAAAAGATGAAAACTTTCGTAATTGTCTCATTAGTAGTTGCCTTAACCTCATCAGCTTGGGTAAGGTATACCTTATTTATTGCAAAATATTTTTTATTGCTAGAGTTAAAATTAAATTTAATTAATTCTTAACTTTGAAAAAAGATAATTTCTGAAAAAAGTGAATAGTACGGTAAAAATCAATTATTTCATTAGTTCGGCATCTCCGCTGTAAACTTGCCCGTAAAAAAAATTAGGAATAAATTTAATTAGCATTGACAGAATTCGGATTAAACTACACAAAATTTTGGTTTCGATTAATGCGATAAGTAGTATTGTTGCAGCGGTAAACCGTAAGTTCTTTTTCATAATCACGGACGAGTACGGACTCCAAGTAACATCCTGGCATATCGGTGCGCGGTGTCTTTTCATGTTCGCCGGTAAATTTACATTAGTTTAGAGTTAAGATTTATTTTGTGGAAGCAAATCTACGTTTTAACATTTTTGTCCCTAAAATCGAAGTTAATTGGGGTTGTAAAATTTTTTACTGGACATAGATAAAATTATATGGAGAAAAGTAAAGTTACTACTACACTCAAATTAAAACCTTGCCATGCCCGTAGTCACAAATTAATAACAAATTATTTTAAATTAATCAAATTTTGTTTGAGTATTTAAGGATCTATCACTAACATAATATGTAATAAATTTTGAAAATATTTTCTTATTTTACTTTAATTTTTAGGGACTTTCCGATGAATTGAAAAAAGAAATTGGTAAACATGCAGCTGTATGTATTAAAGAAGTCCAAGTTGAAGAAGCTGTTTTAAATGAATCAATTTCAAAAAATTTGGAAGAACCTAATGAACAAGTCCAATGTTTTGTGAAATGTGTTATTGAAAAGATTGGATTATTCGAAGACAATGCATTAAATGTAGAAAATGCACGTAAACATTTATCTCAACACCATCCAGAAGACAAAGTTGAACACCTCTTAGAAACGTGCAAGGATGTTAAAGGTGAAAATGCATGTGGAACTGCATTTAATATTGTAAAATGCTACGAGGCTCATGCAAATCAGTAATAGAAATACTGAAAATTAAAACCAAAAATTTATAAAAGTATTCTTTTTCTATGGAAAAAAAATTAAAGTACTAGATTATGTCAAATTACGTGTGAAGAAAAAGTTTGTTTTTTTTTTATAAAATTTATTAAACTTTAAGGGCGCAGATTGATATGCAATTTTCAGTTTTGCAATTGTTTGATTGCTTATTTGTATTTTATCTATTAATCGTACATAATTAAGCGATCAAACAATTTGTAATTTTTAGTTAATGCAATCGATTTGAATTGACGCAATAATTTAGTTGGTTAAAGGTGTGCGCAATGATTCTACAATCAAGCAGCAATTGGAAAACTAAAATTTTGCATGTTTTCCTGAGCACTAAATGTTTTCATATAGGCTCCCACAAAAAAAATAACTTTACAAATCGAAAAATTAAGTATCTACTGAAAATCATAAAAATGACTGAATGTAATGAACTAAAATCGAGGAACTGTGCACTTAAAAATGCCGTAGTTCATATCTGTTACTATTTATTCAATGCAAGTACAGCAATGAATTATTTCTGAGAAAATTGATGACCAATTAAAAATAAATTGAATAGTCTTAATTTTACTAAATTCATGAAGAAAAACAATTGAAATTTTATCTCTTAGATACAATCGCATCAATGACGTGTGAAACACTACAATAGTAAATGTTATTTTACTTCACTATAAATTAATTGTTATATAAATTGCAATAAAATTGCAGTCTAGGGAAAAAAGCAGAACAATGTTAGCGCTGAAGTCAAAATACAATTCAAGGTTGCATTATAATTCAAGTATTTTATACAATATAAAAAATTATGTTATCAGAAAACATTTCGATTTTGATAGATCAGGTGAAAAATTCTTCTTAGTGAATTAAAATTATTATACACTTTATATTGTACAGTTAAAATACGAGTTTTTGTTATAATTCAGTTTCAATTTGGCATTTATTGGCCCGTTTGATATTTAAGGACTGAACGAACTGCAAAGGGAGTATAGTTGACAATTCAAATTATTAAAAAATTTTAATAAAAACACAATTTTAATACTACTAGCAATTTAAATACTACTAGCTCTGTCACCTGCCCAAAATTTTTTTTGTAAGTTAACCAACAATAATGCAATAAAGTATTTGAGCAGTAACTCGTTATAACATAACAGTGCCTGGGAGAGGTTTTTTGTCGAGATTTTTTTCTCCCAAAAACTGGGTTCCTTCATTTTTTTTTTGTTTTTGAGATTTATAGTCGAAGCAAAGTATTTTAAGAAAAAATTTTTGATTGTTTCCTAACATAAGCAAGAGTTTAGTTGCTAGCTTCTGATTTCCACGAAAAGTGAATCAATAATTATTATAGTTGTGCCAAAGAAACGGTAAGCTAATTGAAAAACTGACGAGTCAAAGATTTTATAGAATGTGGTTTTTGAAAATATAGGACAAATAGCAATATCATCGTTTTATTATATCAAAAAGGAATAAAATAATATTAAGAAGAAAATATAGTTCATTGTAATAAATGGAATATTAGAGAAAATGATTGATATAAAATAAATTCGAATCAATCCACCACTTGAAAAACAAAAGTATCATGTTTCCCTTGAGCAAGTAAAACATGGTTTTTCGTACAACAATCTTATTTTATTATTCTCAAATTTTTCTCTTAATATACCCAAAATCAAATTAAACAGTAACTATTGCATACATTTAGGATAAAATTTAAAAGTGTTGTTTGAAAAAACTTATATCAGAAATTTAGAATGGCTTAACCATTTTTTATTTCAAGAGAAATTTTAAAATTACAAAATTTTATAAAAACACATTTGTGTATTACAAAGTTTTAATTTAGACAACACTGTTTCTGGCTTTGATTTGCTTGTAAAAATCTAAGTCGAGTTCAAATTCAAACATTCTTACTATTTTGTAATGTGCAAAATTTTTTTGCCATTTAAGATATTATTTTATCGATGAAAATTTGATGAAAGTCTGATGGATAGACACTTGTCGATTTTCTCAGATTCAAAAAACGGAAGATCATTCAATTCTCGTACACAGCGAATACGAAATATTAAGAACTTAAAATTGTTTAAGAGCTTAAAACAGATTCTAAAATACATTTGAAAAAAAAATTTTAAAGTAAGTTTCAGTTACACTATAAATAGGGACAAAAGGTAATTGTCTTAATTCTTTTTGTACATTACTAGTCACGAGCGAATAAGGAGCTCGCAGAACGAAATCAGGAAAATGTATTTAACACTTTTGTCAGATCATAAAAAATTTCTTTTTTTTCGTGAATTACCGTTTCCCTTTTATTCGTGGAAGTAAAGTGGAAAAGAATTTGATGATAGTCTTTTCACACCCCTGTAGCTCAGTAGGTAGAGCGCCCGCAAGTAAGCCGGTAAATCGCTAGTTCGGGTACAGTTTGACGAAAATCTGTTCTGCGGTTCTATTAAAATTTTTTTTATTTATTTCTATAAGAAAATTATAGAAGTATTGAACTACATTTTGTTGTTGTTTTCTTTGATTAAGTTGCATTCAAACCTTATAACAAATTTATAACAAGAAGATGCCGTCTACAGTCGTCAGCTTTATAAACATGTATATATGTATGTGTATTCCTTCTCTCCTTGTCAAACTCAGCTTTAATAAAGGCATAGCCGTCTGTTCTATAACTTGCACTAAAACTTTTGGATATTATCTCATTCCTAGGCGATATTTTCTGCCAAGGACGATCAGAAAAGTTTTTTTTTTTGTATAGGATACGCAGTTCCTACGAAATAGCTTCACAATTCGGGTATTAATTGAGTTAGTCCCAAATAATTCTTCAAGGTCAACTGAAATGTTTTTATTTGTTTATTCGAACAATCATAAGGCAAAACTACAATAAAAAAATAAATTCATTTTATAAAATAGTCTGCTGCACGACCTAATGAGAAAAATATTCTCTCAAAAGGAGAAAAATATGTCATTAAAAATATTAAAAATAAATAAATAAAATAATATGCGTTTCAAATAGGCTATTATAAAAAATATAGAAAAAATAAATAAAATCCACTCTGATACGCATATTTTGAAAAGCTTCGTAAAAGAAAATGGTTCGATAGTATTTCAGAAAAAAGGGGTAGGTACAGAGGGTTGCAACACATGAAAAGCAAAAAAATAAAATAACCAAGCCAAATTTTCAAAAAAAGAGGATCAAAAGCAAGCAAAAATGGAAATCTCAGATTTAAGAAGTAAAATGCTTACTTGTAGTCTATAATAAAATTTAATTCAAATTTTAGTTTTTAATTTCAAATTTACTATTGATAACCGTATTAGTCTCTTAAAGATTTGAAATCGTAGTCCAAACAATCATGTACAAATTATAGCAGAAATAAGAACATAAAATCGACGTGAAAACTTCTACAACATTTTCGTTATTTTAAAGCTATAATCCAGGATGGAAATATCCTATGTATAAACTCGCAATAGCAAGAGCGTTATAAACAATCTTATAGCGTTATTTTAAAGTCTTGTCACAATTTCTGTTATCAATTTTTACATATAAAACTTTGGAAAATTAAAAGAATCAATATTATTTAGGAAATGTGCCAAATACGATTAATTACAATTACAATGACATATTTGACTTATTTTAGCGAAAGTGGCAATACTGGGTAGGTATAGTTTTTAATCATTATATAATTACTACAAGTTTCCTTAAACAGGAAGTAAAGTTCAACCTTTATAGATAGATATACAAAATAATTTGATGTGTACTAGTGAACTCACTTAGTTTCATACTATAATATGAACTTTTCATATGAATCATTTTCACTAAGAGCAAAAATTACATGAGAGTTTAGAGATCAATTTCCAAATCAATATTTGAGTAGATAGTTAATGTTAGTGAATAATTATTCAAATCGGCTTTAATAAATATTAATCAACGTTTGTATGTTTTGGAAGGACAATTAAAAAATTTTATAGTCATAGGTGAATATAAAACAAATACTTCAAAGTATATATTATTTTTTAAATCCTGGTTGATTTATATAAGACTATATACGTGAAATAATTTGGTGAAACGACAGTCTTAAATTATAATATGTATTTAATATACCGAAATGTTATAGTCATTTACGATATGAGTACATATTTGCTTTCAAGTTGTATGGTGCCTATTTCAGCCAATTTACTGAACTAAGCAATTACGAAATTTTTGAACTATGGAAATGATACATGGACCAACATAGGTGATCTATATCTCCATTCCTTAACTGTTTAAGTATAATTTTAACCCCAGTTAAAAACTTGGTGGTTAATTTATAACACCACTCAAAAATTTGTTCTTTCGAGTATTAATTTTGTTTTTTTTTTCTTCTAATTAATTTGCATACATCAATTTAAAGCATTTAATTACATATAAACATATATTAATTTATATTACAACATATTTTAAAATGCGTGATTTGAAAAATCAGCAGATAAAATTAGCATTAAATAATATCTAGTTATCTATGTAATTTAAATGACAAGTTCAGAGATGAAAATTAATTCTAACATTTTGAATTGCTATAATCCTATACTTTTTGTTCTGTTGTCAGTCCATTTATTTTAATAAATGAAGTTTGAACTTTTAAAAATTTTATTTTAAAAGTAAACCTCATTACCGTTAGTTGTTGCTTACCAACTAACAACCTCCTAGAAATTGCTTTCTATTTCTTTATTTACCGGTAGTTCTTTGAAAGGTATCATTTAAAATTCCGCCATTATCACAACCTAACAAATAAAAATTAGCTACAATATTCAGAACGGTTATAACGTTGATACTAAGAAGTTGTATAGGTATAATTTTGTTTGCTAACTAACATTCTAATTCTCAATTCAATATTAATGCTATAATGCCAATACGGTGACCACGCAAATGTTGATGTACATATATGTATTTAAAAAACTTTAATATATGGAATAAAATAATTTATTTTTTGATTTAGTTTTGGTCCATAAATGTGTATCTATTAACAAAGGTGCTAAAATAGTTCCTGATTTCAGTTTTATTAGTATATTTTTCAGCTAAATAAAGGTAACTACCCGATAGAAATATAATATTTGCCACAGGTATAATTAAAAAAAATTACGTCAATATAACGGAAAGAAAACACTGAGAAAAAAGCTTTTTTGTTATTTATTTCTCAGCTGTTTAATGTTTACACTTGGAATTTAACCTGTTCGTAATTTAAATGTTAATAACTTTTTAAGAAATATATGTAATTTTCGTTTTTAAACTTTGCATTTCTTCCCAAAAGGTTCAGGTCACTTACCATCGATCCATTCAGTTTATGGCACTTTTCAAAATATGTCTCTAGCCGAAATAACCATAATACTCGTTGCCTAGACTATTGATAAAATTTCAATTACAAAATATTCAACTGACAAACGTTATTTATTTGCATTCGCATTGCTGCACAAATTCAACTTTGCACTGATTTAGGTCAATGAGTTTTTGATTTAGATTTTTTAAATTTTAAAAAGAATTCATTTTTAATTACAAGAATTTCTATAATTATATAATATTTGGTTAGACGTAGTAATTATTTTTTAATTAATTGCGATTTTTATTATATTCATTAATTGATATTGACGTGGATCAATAAAATCGTGATCAAAATCGAAGCAATAAAAATATTTATCAAGTAAAAAAGCTTTGGAGTAGGTAACCATTTTTAAAAATTTTGGGCTAGTAGATGTAAGATAACAATTTTTAAAATTTTTTTTACTTTACTTACTTTATTATTAAATGTACAAAACAAAAGCCTTCAAATAACAGTTTTAATAACAGTTATTTACCGAAAATATTACTGGTTATGTGTTTTAAAAAAAGACTTAATGGCAATACTGCCAAAATTATCTAACTTCATAAAAAACATTAAGGAAATTTTTGTTTAAGTTATTTAAATTGGCGCTCTTACGATCTCAATCAAAGAGGCCATTTTGATTTTCAGGAACAAATAGCTTTTCCTCAGTCATAAAATAAGATTTTTATAATTCTATCCGCTATTCAATTATCTAAATAAATTACGGCACATTACAATTGGAAAAACAATTTTATTATAGACTACAATTATGTGTGCGGGTGCATTGCACGTATTAACTAGAGATTTATAATGTTATTATTAATGCTTGTTTTAGTCGCAGATTAATTTCTTTGTTTTTATTAAGGTGCAATTACAAAATCAGCTAGTATAATTTATACGTACTTACATTATATCGCAAATGCATAATAAATTTTAATTAATACTTGAACTTTATTCTTCTTAAAGTTGTTACTTCTATACATATAGCTAGTCAAATATTTAAGATCTAAATGAATAATTTTAGTATAAAATACGGGTATCATTTTAGCACTTCTGTCAGTCATATCCTGTTAGTCAAACTATATACAATTAAGTTGTAGAATATCAAAATACAAAGTAGATTATGAAAATTATCACATTTTATTTAACTTTGCTTTCGATAGTTCTATCGGTAAAGGTAAATGATTCATTAATATAAAATTCGAGAACTGTTAATTATTATTTAACTTAAATTTTTTATTTATACTTTATTTTATATTTATATAATCTATTATGTTCAATATGTATTGGTACTTATAATGTTATTTAATAATATCTTTAGCTTATTGATGCTGATCAGATGGTTGATACACTTATCAAAAATGGTTTAGAATGTCTTTCAGAAACTCGACTTGACAGAAATGACTTGGAGAAATTAATCCGACAAGATTTAAAAAATCCAACTGAAAATCAAAAATGTTTTGCAAAATGTGTAGTTGATAAAGCACAATTCGTTAAAAATGGTGAATTAGATCAAAATACAATACGTGGTATATTATTAAAAGATCATTCAAAGGAATGGACTGAACGCCTTATTAATGCTTGTCCATACCCAAATGGTAAAAGTGATTGTTCATCAGCATTTGACTTGGCTGTTTGTTATAATAAAGAAAGGAAAAGAGCTTAAAAGAACCAGAATAAAGTAGGATATATTTTATTTTGTTAATATGTAAATAATTTTTGTTATAAAATAAAATTTATATAATAATCAGGTTATATTGAACTAATATTGTTTGAAATAAGAAAAATATATTTTGAAATTGCTTCGTCTCATCTAAATATGAATATGTTACAGCTTCAATTGATATTTTACGAAAATTACGAAAACCCAACTGAAAAAATATGAAATTTAGTTAAAAGATTAAGACGATAAAAAATTCGAAATGCCTTCAAGACACAATATCAACATGGAGCTACTGTTATACTCGGAAGAAATTTGTTCGTCAGGGTGTTAAAACTTTCAAGCTGTTCAACATACATTAACATATTTTGCATTTGCGCTCAGTGTGAAATTGCAAATTTATTAAACTATGCATGTCTGCTAGTCCGTCCGTTTGAGAATAAAATCTCAAAACCTAACCAGCAAAAATAATTGTTTCTATTATTTTTAGTGAGTTATTTAAGTGTTTTTATAGGCAATGATTTTGATAAAAGTACGGGTGCAAATTAAATTTGTAAATTATGCGTGGTGTAATAATTTCCCCATTTTTTATACTATTTTGCTGGTAAGTCATGGCCTCAAATTATGCTAAAACTAATAAGTTTTTAAAAAATGTTTTGAAACATAACATAAAAGAAATTGAAATTCATAATATGAGTGTACATGTAACTTTTAACTGCTATAAATGAATTTGCTTGAAATGTAGTAATTTTTTTCTCACAAATAGTGGTAACAATTCTTTCGACTTTAGAATCATTTTGGTATTTATTTTCGATTTCCTATTTAAATTTAAAAAGTGTGAAAAATTTTTTTTTTTTTTAATCAAATTTTTTTTCAAATCAAGGTCAAGAATAAAAATTTTATTTGTTCCTAACAATATTTTTATATGATCATCGTATTTATTATGTAAATCAAATGAAGCGCAACTGCTCTTCAAGCATGTCATCAAAAACAGAAATATTTTCTTTCTTTTTTGAAGAAATTCTGATCAAGAATTTTTACTATAAAACCAGTCAACATTTTCCAAAAATTTACAATTTAATTTTATAATTACTAACGTAATTAACTATTTGAAGAATTAATAATTACTGTCCAAAATGAATACTTTAGCAATAATTGGTTTTACATTTGGATTTATTGCTTTCCAGATTGTAAGTGTTTTCTTAGTTTTATATATATGTGAGAAATAATTTAATTCTGGAATATTTTAAATTCTCAGACTGCTTATGCTGAACCAAATGAATCGCCAGAATATATAGCACAAAAATGTGCTCTAAGAACTGGTGTAACTCCAACTCAAATAACAGCATTAAAGGCTGGTGATTTTTCCAAGCCAAATGAAGAAATTCGATGTTATGCTAAATGTATATTAGATCATTCAGAGCTTTTGGAAGAAGGAATGATAAGAGAAAATTTATTATTAAAAAGATTTTCAGGAAAAATTCCTAAAGAACAGATTAACAAAGCTATTGGAAAATGCAAAACAGTTACTGGACAAGATCATTGCCAAGTTGCTTATAATTTGGTTAAATGTTTCTCAGAAAACAAAATGAAATTAATTTAAATTCAACAACCCGAAGAAAATGAAAGAAATTTTAATAATGCAAACATTTTTTGAAGCACATCTAGCACATATTATTATATGAATTCACCTGCAGCTGGATACAACATAATAATTATAAGTGAATTAAAATTTGATATTAACAATAATTTATTTGTGCTATTTAATTTTATTAATTTAATACGACCGATAAATAGTGCGACCGCATCCAGTCTTACGCGTTGAGTTTACAACGCAAAAGCTCTGCTTAATGTTAGAGGAACAAAAAAATTTTTTTAAATGAAATCTTGTTTCAACCAACGAGCTCTTAACTTTTACATCCAACGACTTCTTAAATTTTTGACTACGCATTCTCGATAGAAAAATGCCAAAGTTTTTAAAAATGTAACTCTTTTACAGCCCAATCTTATAACATAGCAGAAATTTCCAATTGTAATATTGCAAGGTAATGAAAGAGAGTACAAGCTGCAAAAAATTTCATTATTGCATATAAGACATTAAATTCAAATTCGCGAAATTAATTTCTTTTGTGGACAAATGCTTAATATTCTTCGCAGTTTCGAATATCTTTTATTACCACAATAACATTTTATTTTAATTCAATTGCTATATACATATTTTGATTCTAGTAGATTTATACGTAATATTGCATAACTTTAGGATAAGTATTTTAATTTTTTTATCTCATTTCAATAGCAAACAATTTTGCCAAGCTATGCAATGAAATTTTTGACTATATTGTTTGAATGGAAAAGAAATATGTACTTTGATATGCATATTAAAATTTTGGTTTTTAATAAAATAAGGCAACAATATAATTTTAAATTTGATTTTGTCCAATTTATTGAATTTAACTTTTTCCGTATATTTTTTAAAGGTCGCATATTCTGGATAATGTTGCAATCCCATTGAAATTCTTATCATTACTCTTCTATATAATAGAATCTTTAATTAATTAATTAAAGAAAATTAATTTACAAATAAACTTCAACATTAAAATTTTCAATAAATTAAATATATTTTCTCCGATTTCATTAAAATGCGCTATAAATAACCTCAGTTTGCTTTTTCTGTACATTTTAAAAATTTTTCTTTTTTTTTTTTGTTTGTGCTTTTACTTTACATTATATTATTAATCCTAAGACTTTACACTACCATTTTTATTAAAATTTATTATATAATAAAACTATCGTTTTAAACAAATAGATAATATCAGGAAAAAAAAAGTGAAGGAAAATCTGTAATTTTTTAATTTTTTTGCCCCGCAGAATGGTAGAAAATTTTCCGAATATATTATATAACCTTACAAATTATCACAAATATGTAAATTACAATGAAATTAAAATGCAACACCATTCTTTTAATAATAAAAATAATACCTTTAGAACTTTGTTAATGCGACTGTAAAAGCATCGTTATTTTTTTCTTTATAGTTATTACTATATGCCTTCTGCTAGTTAAAAAAGAAAACCGCGAAAATATTAAACTTATCAGAAGTACTATGTGGTTCTCATATATCGAAAAACTTTTAATAATAATGTTTTTAATTATAATTTGCGCTGATAAAGTCGCAAGGGTTATTGTGTGAATGGTGAAAATTAAATAACTTCAAACAATGACTTTATATAATTTAGCGTCAAATCTAGGTCACTTAATATAATCACTGAAAAATTTCGGCTTAAAATCTCAAGATATCACTATGGCCAGCAGAACTTTTTTAATATGTGCATATTATATAGCCCGTTCCAATTTATTTTTCATAGTTGGGAAGTATACTGCTGCTTTATGTTGAAAATTTAGAACTACTATGCATTTTTATGAATTTATGATAAAATTCAAATACGTGAATATTATAAAAAGCATAAATTTTGTTCATTTTTATTAAGACTCGCGGCATAATAGACTTTACTTTCAAGAAATCCAAATTAAAATTTTCATTTTGAAGTTTTTAACATTTTCATCTAATAATTTAATAAAACGATTAGGTTTCGAATCAACCCAACCTAAGAAAATTATATGATTTATTCGCATGCCACTCGTGGACATTATTCCAAATCGATATTCGAGTGCATCATACCATACAAAAAGTTTCAAAACTCTTTTATTTTTTTCACTTTATATTTGCATGATTTTAATAACCATTTACTTTTACACAATAATTTCCAATTATCCAGAAAAAACCCATTGCACTTGAATGAAAACAAAAAATATTCTGTTTTTTTTTTTAATACAATCATATAGAATTGCATCAACAGCTATATTTTCATGTTACACCATTTTAATCTTTAAAGCAATATATTGCAATTTTCTTTTTGTATTTTAAAGTTTATCTTTGCATTTTTAAAATATTGCGATTTTTTTCATTTACGTAACTATTCGTTTCAACGCTTTTATAATTCTCTTTATATGCCTGGTTTGCTCAACAGAGTAACATAACATATTAAAAATAACCTGTTATCAGTAATATTTTTTTGTTACATTGAATTAATAATTTGAAATCAGGGGATTTTTATATATAGAAGGATATAGCTTACATAACAGACAGCTGCAAACAAAATTATTGAGCGTATTTTGTTCAATTTGTACTAAAAAGGAATATTAAACTTAAAATTTGAAAATTTATAAGTAAGCTTCGGAAGCTTTAATTATAAGTAAGCAAAATGAATGTTCTGACGAATTTTCTTCAAGGAGCTAACATACTATGAAATTTTTATGCTTTGCAATAAATTTAAATCCATTTTGTTTGAGAATAATGTAAATCATTTATAATCATTTTGTACATTACAAAAAGAGAAACTAAATATTATTGAGTTTCTTTAGTTTCTCTCTAAATAAATTAATTTCATTTATAGGAAACTAAAGAAAATATGAGCACCTTCAATTCATACCAGAGTTTTAGTATTAAATCGTTAAAAATAATTCAACTCTGCTACTCCGTTTACATATTATCCAATTGGTTTGGATTTAAGTTATTAAATGAGCTTATTAAAAATGTTATTCAATAAAATCTAAAAATCAAGTCAATTAAAATTGTTAATTATAATATTGTTCTTAGTTTGCAATCAATTATACAATCCTCAAAATATTAAAGACTTCTTATTTACCGGAGTGTGTTTTTAACGAATTATTTCTACAGTACATTATTATAATGAACAAAGATTACAATTTCGTGTAGAGCAGATAACAAATTAACATAGTATCAAACCGTACCATAATCTATTTTATGAATTATTACGCTCAGATGTCAGGTCTATATATACATACTATATTTCGCACATTTCTACACACAGCATGTTTTTGTTACATTATTTTAAAAATTGTGAAAATTTCAAAATCATTTACATCCTAATAAGGATTAATTCTCAAAAATGTTTTACTTAATAATCCGTTTTTCTTTAATAAAAATTTTATTTTCTTATTTCATATGACAGGTTCTTTCAACTGAATGTATATTAAATTAAGTCGGTTATTTGCTTTAAATTTTCCATATTATATTCATAATTTGAAGAGTAGTAAAAAAAAAAATAATAATAAAAAACCAGAATAACAAGCCAAAATATATTTAGAGTTTTCTTTTGACATGAAATTTTCTTTATAAGGATAATGACCTGGTAATTATTTTCTCATTTTATCCTCCGAAAAAAGTAAACATAAAATAAAATTAAAATAAAATCATATACACACACACAACACACGTTATGTGTATAATCATGATGTCTCGTTATTTTCTCGCGTTTTTCTGAAAATTAAATTCAAAATGAGCAGATGGAAAAGTATGAATATGGTCTTTATGCTACTTAAATAATATCAACGATTTTTTATTATGTACGAAAAAGCGTTGGAAAACAAATATCACATTTATATTTGGAAGTAACTATTTCGGAAGAAATAAGAAAATTATACGGTACCTACAGATTTCAGCGTAAATTAAAATTGATAAATTTATGTACACTCGCATATAATTTTGTTATCCTGGAATGACCTTTATTATCCCAGAATAACTGTTTTAAGTTTTGAGTTTTTTAATTGTTCTTTACTTTGACTTAAAATGGACAAAATTATAGTGGCATTTACAATACCTCTCTATTTTTCCTTTATTTTATTCTTTCTATTTTATTCAGTTGCTCAATTTATACGAAACGGCAATATGTATGTGATGCATAAAGGAACTTCAAAGCCATTTACGTGATTATTTTATACGTACAAGTTCTTTAAGAGATATCTTCACTTTTGTTTTTTTTTAAGCTTTAAAGCTCTATTCTACACTCAATTAAGATGATTGAGGCTAGCTCCTCAATCATCTTTATTTAAAAATTTACATAAGGAACTACATACGTATACTTTTTGATCTCTAAATAAATTGAACATGATATTACAGAAATATTTTAAAATTTTGCATTTTTTCCGCTTTAAAAGATTTAAATTTTCCAGAAAGAATTATTTTCTAAACCTGATAAAAAGTATAAATAGCTAATAACATCAAGAAACAATTTTTCAGAATCAAATGGAAAAATATTAAAAAAAATCTGATGTGCTCAGCACATAACCGACCACAATGTATATTATCTAGATTAGTAAAAGTATTCCAGAAGATTACGAAAATGCGTTTTAAACACTTCTTTACAATTTTATGCTCTTATATAATTATACGAAAAGTTCGTTAATAACTTCTGATAATAACCAGAGCTCAAGAGTTTATTGTTTTAACTCTCCAAATTTAAATATTAAATTTCAATGAAATCCGTTGATAATTTCTCTTCATATACGCAAAAATGTATATTTGGCCTGTAGTAAACGTCCAGTTGCTGACAGCTGATTTCTTCCAAAAATTAGGAGGTTTCGCGTACTTATATTTGAAGCTTATATATGAGATTCCCGAGGATATATCCCAAAAGTCGATCAATTCTTGACATAGTCGAAATAAACTAAAATTTCATCAAAATCAATTCAGCCGATCAATTCAGACATACAGACAGACTGACAGATAGGCAAACCGACACCTTCCCAACAAAAATTCGGCTTCCAAAATTTGTTGCCATCACATACTCTCTCTTATTATATGCAATGCAGTCGGCGAAAAGTTTAACTTAAATATCGAGCATGTGCAAAAACAAAAAAAAAAGGCAA